ACAGAACGTCCGACTTGTTGTCTGGTTGCGATAACCGATACGGGAATCGTGAAAATCTGGGATAGCGCGCCTGCAGCTGCACCGAGGGAGAGTTCAGCAGCTGTGGATAGTGCAGGAGTTTTTGAACCAGGAGGCAGCTTCAAACTCATGCGCTTGATGTATGATGAGCGTATGAATGAGTAGAAGAAAAAGTAGGCATATTCTTGGGGTATTCAGCTCGATGGGGGAATGTAAAAGAGGTGATTGAAGACACACGCATCGAGAAAGTGTTGAGCATCGTTGCAGCAAAGCCTCTGTACCACCCATTAATTCCCTCTTGTTTGAATATTTCGAGCAGCAACGACAGCATGCTTAGGTCGTCCTTGCGCTTTCCTCGTGCAGCCGATGAGGTTACCTGTATCCTGGTCTTAGCACTACGATAAGATTAGAAACGTATCTCATGAAATGCGATCGCCGACGCACACATCAAGAGGATACACCACACTATTGATGAGTCAGGACAGCTGGTGCGTGGGTAGTCGAGCAGTACTCACGCATTACTGAAGCAAGCTCCAAGGGCACCAGCCAACGCAGATGCAAAAGGCGTTAGTTGCTGCGCCTGCTTCGCTGATTGGGACTGTGTTGACATAATGGAAATGTGCAACTGAGATATATCAACCTTGTGTGGAGACTACAAAAGAGCTCGGAATTACCGGTCCCAGTACCGGCTAAAATGCCGATTGCATATGAATTCCAAAATAGGGCGCTACTTGACCCCAAAATGGAAGGCTGAAGCTTTCAAAGCTAATACGGACAAATAAGGATGCTGTTTTACACCTGCGATCATGACTGGGGTGCACAACCACGTCAATTTCCCAGGAGAACTCGCGATCGGTCCTTTGCTTCCACGTGAAACTTACTCTACATGCGATTTTGGGGATAAACAACAACTTGTCTTTGGTGCTGAGGCACAGCGGGAAGGGATCGAGACTTATGGGATCGCAGGTCGCGTTTGGTGACTAGATATTGCTTTGATGTTTCCGTTCCCTCGCTCTGAGCGTGATGTCATGTAGGGAAGCAGCATATCTTGTGACCAGCTACATCGACAATCCTTGTACTTGGGAGTTTGACCCGCCCTTGATCGATAAGCATCTATCTGGGCACAAACGAATTTTTCTCGAGCTCGGTTCTGGCACGGGCATCGTTGCAGCGAAAATAGCTCAAGCAGCTGCTTTGTCCGGGCGAGATCTGGTCATTGCAACTGATCTGCCCGAAGTCTGCCCGCTTCTGGAGAAGAATCTTCTCGTCACACCAAAGGGGGATTCAGGAAACACACAGGTTACTTTAGTACGACCTCTTTCGTGGGGGAGTTATGATCATGCCATCAACATCGTACGAGAACTTAAGCTCGTTGATGATCCAAGTGGACATGAGCATGGCTGTATCACGCACATCATCTGCAGCGATCTTGTAAATACTATGGTGCTCTCCATGCTCGAAGACCGATCACTGACAGAAATATAGGTATATTTTCCGGAGCTTTTAGCGCCCCTTTTACGCACCCTTCTCCACTTGACCTCTCCTCCCTCTGTCTCCCTCTTCGAATCACAACCACGAGTCATCATATCGTACAAAATCCGGAGTCTTTCTAAAGAGACTCCATTCTGGTCGGCATTCGGCCTGTGGTTCTCGTTTGAGCCTGTCATTGCACGAAAGATTGATGCGAACAACTCGCCTTCCGAGTGGCAGCGATTCGGATCTGATTTAGGAGGTGATGGCGATCTGGCATTCATCTTCGTGGCACGTAGACGTCCAGAATCACTTAACTGGACAATTCCGTTGGAGAATGTTGATCTACTTGGAGGCGTCGGCGCAAGGGGAACGTGTGGCAAGAAGAGTGATGAGACATTCGAGACCTTGCTCCTTATGGGCCTTGGAGAGTGATATACATTCACTTCACATTTTATGTATAACACTCATTCAAATACCAGGAGATACATACATACATACTCAACGCGGGATTCAATAACGACTCCCACCTCCCCTTCACATCTCAGGAGATTCCGTACCCTCCGTGATGGTAGAAGCGCTGGTTTCCATTCTCTAGCAAACCAACAGAGTTGTCCAAATTCTCAACTTCCTCTGCATAGTTGGGTGGTGCAAAGGAGCGCATTACAATGCCAGTGGCGTGGAAAGATGTCACATTAACTGGTTGTGTCAGTAGTGGGCCGGAGACATGCGGTGCATGTACGAAGCCAGCTGCTTCGAAAGGATGAACTTCTAGATGGTACTGTGACCCGATCACAGGTTGCAAACAACACGCTGGTGAACGGGTTTCCAGAAAGACAGGAAAGAAAGTTACTGACCCTCACAGAAAATCGGGGGAAAACAACACTCTGTTTGAATGCCTTCTTTAAGTTCACTTCACCTTGGAGAATCCGCTTCCCCGTAGTACTGGCGTCCCTAGCTGGCCAGAAAACAGCACGTGCTATTGTTTGAACGAAGAAGTTGTCTGTATGCTTCCCAGCATGATCACTTGTTGCGTCCGAGCCTGTAGCTAATGATCGCTTCAGGAAAACACGGATGGCTTGGTGATTGGCAAGTAAATCGAGAGCTTGCTCGTCTGAGCCTGTAAAAGTTAGCCATAGTGGCATTGCAGAACCACGAGCATAACTGAGCTATGGGCACAGTGAGAGGCCTGATGCTCGAAGTCAGGAATAGACCTACTGGTTTGGCTAGTGCTAGCTACAGATGTTTTATCGTTTTAGAGCCTTGCGAACCGCAAAACTGGAGATCGACCTACGTTAAAATCGACATTCCCTCTCTTGGCACCAAAAAGAGTGCCTGTAATAGTGACTGATGGAAGGATGTACCACCCCTCCGGATCACCTGCCAGTATTAAACACAAGCATTGAAGACTACATCGCTCGACAACTCACCTTCAGGACCAACGAATGGAATGTTTTCTTTATATGCTTTCTGTAACATAGCAGATGGAAGTTCCGGTTTTGTATTCGGGACATATGCAAAATCCGTGGTTAAACTAAGGATTATTGAATGGTTCCGAAGAGCATCAAAGAGGACAGGGAACACACGTTTGATTCACTCTCAGTGCGCCCCGCTTAATGATGACAGTAATCCTGTAGTTGATGTAAGCGGGACTAGCTCGCTCTGTGAATGAAGGCGGAAGGGGGAATCTCTTCTTCTCTTTACGGTCCAGAACTTCCGTCTCGTCTGGAAGTGCTATTTCGAAAGGCCATGTGTAATGGCCTTTCTCGAGTTTGGACGCCATGGACCCATCAGGAAGGGCCATCGCTGGAGTCCACAACTCCTTCTCGATAACAAGAAAACTTTGCCCTTCCTGTCCAATTGAAGTAGTCGCGGCTGTCACCTGTAACGCCCATAAGCATCGAGAAGTTGCGCAAATAGATAGTGACCTACTGTTACTATAATAGCCTTGGATGATTCCGACTTCAAAATGTCCAGAGTCACGCTCCCCGAGATGAGATCGCCAGCACGAAATACTGGCCAAGACTCCGGGGAAGGAGCACGACTTTTCACCGAAAGGAGAAGCCATTTGTGTCCCTTGCTGTCTTCAAGCGATATAGTGTGTTCAGAACCAGGGGTTAAGGCGTCTAGTGGAGCTACGCTGCTACCGGCTTGAGGTGTGTACCCGGGAAGTTCATTATCACCCTCTATGTGATTCATTAGGACACAGACAATCGATTGCCGGTTTACGAGTTGCGATTGTTAATGCTCACAACGATGTTGTCTGTGGTAAGATGAGTAAGATAAGGAACGAATATATTCCACGACCAGCGTGTCGTGCGGCTCGTGCCTGACCAAGGTTGATGAGAATACCCAAAATAAGCAGAATCCATACTCACTACATGGGCTTCCCCACCCTTTGGTAGTCCTGAGTAGACTCGTGACCAGCCTGGTGTATACCACGGATGCTCGACTGGCGAAAAGCGCGCGCAGGTAAACTGGTTACGAGTTCAAGTCCCAAGTCCAGTTTTAGGCCAGGTCAGACAAGCCTCAGCCCATCTCGGATGTGTTTGTGCAAATGCATCTAGGCTCTCGGAATTTCTTGTTAAACCATAGAGTTTACAAAGTGGGCCGTGTGCTGAAGACCTGGAAAAACTGTGTAAAGAGTACTAATTATTCAGAATGAAGTCCTGGCCGCTTGAAGCGTCTCGCAACATAGAGTGATAGGCGCAGGCCGCCACAATCGCGAATCATTTAGCCTAGAATAAAAATGATCTTTACATGGCACCGAGAGGAGTCAGGGAACCTGTTTCCTCTTAGAGCTTCTATTTATTTGTGGAGCTAGACAAACAAAAGGGTCCCGACTTCCGACTCCCGACTCCCGATACCTTGGTTGGGCGAAATACCCTTGAATCAAGTTGAATGGCAAGCCTGAGGGCGCTCTACCTGGAGAGTCCGATCATCATTATGCTACAGGACCGTTGGGCCATCCTGAAGCTGTCTGAGCTCAGACACGCTACTTCTATATTCCAGCCCCTCGCTTTCCATTTGTCCGGTCCGGATGCCAGTGGATATATATCTCGATCGGTACTTTACTCTGACGGTCTAGCTTAGCGGGATGGACTTCAACAGAACATTGCAAGGTTGCAACGGACAATTTGCAGTCGCATGGGCGGAACAACAGACTATGTATGGATGCAATTTCAGAATATCGTGGTCGATGTCTTTCATCAATAGTTAGTTCCGGTTCTCTAATTATCTACTCCCCGCTCGGTACACCTCATCTCCTTGCCATGCTCATCTGCGATAGAGGCATACAATTGAATCACGTCTGCGCGATCTATTCCTATTCCTTCTCCGTGACCCAGACAGACGAGAACGCATCTGAGCACCAATGAGTTATCACCTAGGCTTCCGAGTCACGATTCACGGTCACTTCATCATCATCTGTGTGCTCAGATAGCGGAACACCACAAACGCGTAGAATCAGCTGTCTGGGCATCGGAGACTGGGTTTGTTGCTAGACGTTCCGGATAATACAACAAAAAATGGCTTTGTCTACATGAACATCGTCTGGAATATACTTTGAAACATCACAACTTAAATAAATACTACGACGGATCCTAGACAAAATATCTTTTCCATGTAGAACACTTGGCAAACATTTTCCTAAACAGTACTGCTAGTCGGTACATGTACACGCTCCTGGAAGACAATCGAATTCATGCTAGTTTCTGCGTTGGAGTTGGCCACGAATTTAACGTGAGATTCTCGAACGCTAAGGATGAGGCGTGGTCCCAGCACGAACATCTGTACGTATAATAAAATTTGGACAGCAACACTGAGTATCCGAACTCCAATAGAATTCGAATTCTGCAGAAACGATGAGCAGTAGTTACAAGCAGATGTCAGCGACAACGCGGCGCACCAAGATTTCTGGAGAGAGATAACCAAGCGTGAGGCAAGAGACATGAACAAAACTAGCACGTGGAGAACTTGAGCAGAGAAAGATAGCCGCATTCATATTACAAGCTCACCTTGCAAAATAAAGCACATGAGTTTTATTAATACTCGTAAACAGTCCTGAATGGTCGATCCTGTCAATGGGCCGAGTCGTCGCAGGTCACGGAAGTGTTTTCACAGCAATCCATGCTTAAAGACAAAGTGCGAGGACTTCCCAAACGATTTTGAGCATCCAAACCATTGAGGCCAGAAGCTGGGCATCTCCCCTCATATTCAAGAGTGCACATATACGTGCCAGAAAGTATAAACTCCTCTGCTGTTTGTCCAATGAGCTGTGTTCTCCAAGTCAACGAGTAAATCTTACCCTCTACAACATACTTGAGTCCTATTGTCGTAACGATTCCGCAGGCGATGTTAACAGCCAGGGAGATAATAGCAAGGAAGATAAGAATCATTCTAGATTTCTGATACATGGCATGTAACCGAGCAATCATGATGACTTGCATCATATTTCAGTCGATTCGATATCACTGAGGAATTGCAGCTCACCGCCCGGCATGGCAGTTACGACCACATTTGTCCCATTTACTGCGTAGTTCACAATATTGCCTGAAACACCCAGTCAGTGATCACCCTCGTACTAGGATCAAACGCTCTGACTCACACTTATCGAGTCAATATTTTGAGCCACATTCAATGTTAAGAATCTCACTTACCCCTGCATATGAGTGTATTCATTAGACGAGAATGAGATGATTGCGAAATAGTCACTGCATCTGTCAGCGAAACCGATGGCAAATTGCTGTGTGCCGCCAGTTAAATGAATCGAACATAATGCATATGAGACATACACAAAGCATTGGCACTAATTGTCACAGATGGCTATTAGTACAGCACTAGCACAACTTGCCGACCACGCTATAGTATAATATGAGGTACGAACAACGACATACGACACAGCCATGAGAGACCAGCGTTGCCTCTATCGTGAATTCATTGTATTTTCCTGTCTTTCTTCTGATATGGGACTCTGTCACTCGCCTAGATCAGTTCAATCTATGACACCATTCTTAGCAAGTCGGCTACTCCGACATAGCACCGACCCACCTCTTGTCTGAATGTTAGTACTAGAAATATCATGAACATATCAGCGGTTTTCGAACACTGTCCTGCTCACCCCAATCGTATGCTACCACGACGCCAGCGACAAGTGCGAAACCGCAAGTCAATTAGATCGAGACATCTTGATGCGACGAACCTATCCAAATTATCGACCACCAATTGAGACCATTTGAGACCAGGGTCATATTCGGTGGATGTTGAGAGTGTGCCATATAACGATCTAGTGTTCGTGCTAGATATAACACCCCTCGGCGCTTGTATCGCCAAAATATTCGGCATGATGGGATATTTGTTCCTGTCTCACGTTGCAACCCTTGATTGATTGAAGTATCGCGGCAGCCTGAGTGCGAAATAAAGTAAGAAGAGCGGAAGCCCTCGATTGAATCAAAATAAAATCTGATCTGCAAACCAGTACTTGTACATGCATGTGGAACTTCTGTTAGAACATCAAGAAAGTTCGGACAGTACTAGTGTTTCGGGATGTCGGCGGCTTGTTTGAAACTTGAAACGCCACTCTGTTCTTGCCGTACTTGCATCAATCAAGGTATTCCGTATGAAATTATGTGGTCATCGATCTAATGGCACAGGTCTAAGGCATCATCGACAAGCGTTTCAAGGTCCATTCTGTAAAATGGCACAGATGAGAAACGGAGTGGCCCAAGGTGGAGCAAATATGACTAACCTTACAGCTGTATAGTACTAACCTATGACGTACGCCGCCTCAATGCCAAGACGACGCTCATACTGTCGCCAAATAAGAGTCTGCGACACATCCTGGACGTCGACATGAATATATCCATAAAAGGATATATTTTACTATAATCAAGTTACAAGGATTGGTCCGGTTCACCGGTGACGGATTTTATAGAAAATGGCCAGAATTAGTGTCCGACCCCAGATTCGTAATCAATACGTAAAGGTACTGTTCTTTCGAGTCTACGGTGATGTGCCCTTCGGAGGAAAGCCCCTTGCTCGAGGGAGATAGAGTGCATACCCCTGATGACTT